AACTGCAGTCGGAAGTATTATTGACGTTCGTTGATATAGCGTTGTTTAGCGCGATTGTTGAAGTTGAGTGTATCGGTAAAGTTGTATTCGGGAAGAATAAACCAGTTTTTATTAAGAAAGAACTTGTGTCGCTTAAGTTTCGTCGGAACGAAGTTACGGAAAATCAATTAACAAACGGAGACGTAACAATATATCCCTTTTTTAGTACTCTTTCCGTATCAAAAGCAAGACTTTCTATAGTTTTCCAAAACACTTGCAAGTTAATGTATCTTCACTGGTTATCTTCTTCAACTCTTGATGGATTTTTTTATATCTTTAAGTATCTTTCGACATTAAGAAAGTCCTTTTTAAAGCTATAGTTATTCTAGAAATGATCCTGGAAAAAAGAAGATCAATTTATTTGTCGGTTTTAACTTCTGTAATACTAACAATAACCTTCTCCATCCTTCCTCGTTTTAATCAAAAATAGCTATATACTTTTTTCTTATTGTCAATGGGTTGAATACCTCTAATTTTGAAGTGATAGACTAGAGGTCGTGTATGCGTTTTTCGAGCAAACGCACAATGGTTTATCTGCTGTGTCTAAAGCGGAGAATCGAACCCCAGATTTTAGCGTTCTAAGTCCGTAGACTTAACGCTGTCCCACCGGAGGAAGACTAGAGGGAAGGAAGAATAGTGTCACTTGACAGTCATTCTTATAACGCACTTTCGCATTCAAAAATGTGAACACGTTTTTGTGGAAGCGAGACGACACCCATGAATTGTCGGATTCTCATTTCCAAAGCATAGGCAACTTACTTGCTTAAGACTGTTATCAGTCTTGAAACATTTTATTTATTGTATATTACTAAATGATTTAGGATAAATATGTTTGTTTGTTTTTTAATTATGCACAAAGCTACACAAGGGCTATCTGTGCTCTACCCACTACGGGTATCGAAACCCGGTTTCTAGCGTTGTAAGTCCGCAGACATACCGCTGTGCCACTGGGGGGGAGGATAAATATGAGAAATTTTGTAGAATCTTTTTTTTACAAGAAAACTACATTTACTTACTTATAATGTGTTATAAGACAATAAGGTATTTAAAATAACCGTATAGGTTTGTTAAGATTTGTTGTTGTTTTTTATTAAGCACGAAGCTACACAAAGGGCTATCTGTAGTATGCCCACCACGGGTATCGAAACCCGGTTTCTAGTAGTATACGTCCGCAGACATGCTGCTGTGCTACTGGGGAGGAGTTTTATTAAGAAATAGTGTCCTTAATTTAAATATAATATTTATTAGTTGTTTCCCCTGTGACTCAGCCGTAAGCTTAATGAGTTATAAAACTGAAATTCGGGGTTCGATCCTTGTGATGGGCACAACACAGAAAGCCCACAAGTCTTTACAACAAATATTTTTGAAGCGTTTTTTGGAATTCCTTATTTATCTTTGTCACATTTTATTTTTAAAATGGACCGAGAAACATTTATGAACACAATCTTAAACTCCAACTTACTTAACATACAAATATTAGAGAAAGATATACTAAATTTCATCTTACGAAACAATGGTGTTTTGAAAAATATTTATTTCATTATTTTGTCTTCAAATCAAAAACAAAAAGTTATGCAAAATTCACTACAGAAGCCAGAAGTATATAAATTTGTTTTTGTTTTATTTCTTAATTTCGCGCAAAGCTACTCGAGGGTTATGTGTGCTGGACGTACCTAATTTAGCAGTGTTAGACTAGAGATAAAGCAGCTATTCAATACCGCCCAGCTTTTGGGCTACAGCTTTACCAATGAATAGTGGGATTGGCCTTAACATTATAGCGCTCCCACCGCTTAAAGGGCGAGCCTGTTCGGTGACATGGATTCGAACCTGCGACTGGCAGATTGAGAGTTGTGTGCCATAACCACCAAGGATATAAGCGGCAAATGCTAAAAAAAAATCAGTTTTTTTCTTTGTTTTACTTCTTATGTGTTGTTGTTTGATTAAGTAAAAAAAACCTTAAATAACTCATGAGTGCAGAAAGTGTATTTAAATATCGTGTTGAGGAAAAAATACAGCAAATATATATATATAGTAATGTAACCTATAAAGTACCTTAGATTTAAGATGAAATGTGAAATATATAAAACTGTAAAATCTAAATTAGAGTTACAGAAGTAGTTTCAAGAAATTACGAAGATGTTTATCAGTTTCTTACAGAAATCTTTTCAGTGAACTATGAAATTGTTTATTAGTTTCTTACAGAAATCTTTTCGGTGAACTATGAAAATGTTTATTAGTTTCTTACAGAAGTAGTTTCAGGAAACTACGAAGATGTTTTATCAGTTTCTTACAGAAATATTTTCAGTGAACTATGAAAATGTTTATTAGTTTCTTACAGAAGTAGTTTCAGGAAACTACGAAGATGTTTTATCAGTCTCTTACAGAAATATTTTCAGTGAACTATGAAAATGTTTATTAGTTTCTTACAGAAGTAGTTTCAGGAAACTACGAAAATGTTTTATCAGTTTCTTACAGAAATCTTTTCAGTGAAATATGAAAATGTTTAGTAGTTTCTTACAGAAGTAGTTTCAGGAAACTACGAAGATGTTTTATCAGTTTCTCACAGAAATTGTTTCAGGGAACTATGAAAATGTTGCATTAATGTTCTATGAAGAGGTCATTAAAAACCTGTATGATAACGAAGAGGCAGAATCTCAGAAAAATGTAGTAATTAAAACTTTAGAGAACTACTAGTAATAGTTGGATGTAATCCCCAGTAAATCTGAAAACGAGCTTGGATCTACTTCTAGGTTCATACGACGTACAGCAGGTGTCTGTTCTGATAGGCTTTGTCGTATTTTAAACATGAAAAGATATTCATATGAAAGGTAGGAAAAGTTCTAAATATATTCATTTGTTTTCTCTACAAATGTCCTGTAAAAGTTTCTCTGGCTGAGTGTCAGCTAGAAATTAGTCTTAACTCCAAACTTCTTAAAATGGGATACATTAAAACCATCATCTCGTAAGAAACACAGAGCAAGAGTATAAAATGAATCACGTTTTAATATCAACAACTTAACAAGACAAGGGAAGGGAAGGAGTTAGGCTTAAAATAACGAGTAATGTTAATAGACACGGTATATAAAGGACATTCTTTGTTTTTCTACGCTAATATTACGGAGTAACTAGAAACAGAAAGATTTTATGAATTAATGTTGAAGTTTGGATTAGGTGTTTCATACATAAAGTTTGTTACAACTACAGTTTTTTTTTACTCGGCTTTGTGCTTTATCTTATTGCAAAGAAGATTAAAACAGAAACATCAACGTTTTTTTTTACCACTAGTTTTATTG